GAGGTGCTGACAAAACCCGACACGAGCCGAAACGTAGTCCTCCAAGACAAGACAGAAAACTACGCTTGTGGCAAAAAATCCTTTATTAAACTAAATTTTTGTAAATTACTCTTCACATTAGAAATTCTAAATGCAAATTACAAAATTGTATTTCAGTAAAAAATGAAAGTTATAGTTAGCAGCAAAATTACAACTTTATACAAATAAAAAAATCATTTTTAATTGTAATTTAAAAATAGACATTGACATCTTCCAACGTACTGGTCCTAACAGCCCTTACAACTGGTAGCTGCAACACGAGGTCTTTCCACCTGCACATTCACACAGAGTCACCTAATCCTCCACGCGGTTTGTTTGGCTGGAACAGTATGAACAGCTGGGCTTTGGTCGGGTCCTGCGGGTTGGGGTTTTTTATTTCCCCTCAAGAGAACACGATACTTGGGAATGGTGGTAGGTCAATGGAGCCCTTCTTTGCTAGGGTGTTCATACTCTATCCCCTCCACGGCTCTGCAGAGGCCAGTGTTACTCTGGAAACGTGAACGGCATTTGAAGACGTAAGCATCAGTCACGTGAATTCTGTGTATAATGTCTCCTGTTACATTTATGATGATCCTTCCTCGTCATTATCAGTGAAATTATTCTCTTGTCCACCCACCGCATTTTGTGGCAAAATTGAAGAACGAATTGGTTGCATTTCACCCCCTCGGATACACGTTCCGCTAAGCATCTTCCCTGGCGCCATACGTGCCTGCAACACTGATGTTCCAGATGTTCTGGTGATGTTCTAGGTTATGACCGGAGCCTCTGGATGCTGACTGAGCAGGAATTCCCAAGTCACAACAGTTTCCAACAGCCACAAAAAAATGGCAGTTAAACATTGCCTGAGGCACCCTTCAACAGGCCGATAAAAACGTTAAGTAAGATTGTACCACAGGCAAAAGCCAAAGTCATTAAAGTATTATGTAGGTATCTTGAAATATTTTTTTAAAAAATCACTTCTGCCCTACTACTTTCACAATCCACTGAAATATATTCTGAAACACTCACGTTATTTAGAACAACCGTCTTCACCGCACTGCTGGGCCCCTTTTTTTCCCCTTTAAGATTACTCATCAATGCTAGCACAAGCATCAACCTTGGTATAAAAAGAGAATTTTCCTAAATTAAAAACTGGGATGTTAAAACATTTTTTAAAAATAAGAACTCCAAAGAGTTCTCTTTCTTGACTGAACTCAGCACATGTATTAAAGGCTACCAGCCATCACACCGACATGCTGTTGAAGCACAGGATAAAAAGCGTTATACAAAAGAGGTGTTTTAAGAGTCGCACGTTATTTCCGAGTGCTGGTGACAATACGGCGAAAAGCATAAGATGATGCAGACTGTACAAGATGACTCAGGATTCTCACTGATGTAACTGAAAAAGACATCAGGAGAGAGGGAAGGTCTAAAACGGAGCCTACTTTGAAATACCCTTTTGAAACAATTACATTGGGTATCGTTCATTTTCTATACACTATAAAAACATTCGGAGAAATACACGTAGTCCAGTGTTGTTTTTCTGGGCAGTTTGGCAAGTAGCTGAAGGCATGGGGATCCTCACTAACACGGGTCTGCTTTCTTTCTCTCTGCACACCGATCTTCTGCTCCATGCTGTATCCAGCTCAGCACAGCTCCTCAGCACATGGAATCATGCAATGGTTTGGGTTGGAAGGGACCTTAAACCCCATCCAGTTCCACCCCCCCTGCCATGGGCAGGGACACCTTCCACTAGACCAGGTTGCTCAAAGCCTCATCCAGCCTGGCCTTGAACACTTCCAGGGATGGGGCATCCACAGCTTCTCCGGGTGAGACGTTATGCTTAAGCTCCTATCAAAGAAAAACGCTGAGCTCATCCTATTTTCTCCGAGCTGGAACCGCAGTGCCTCACCCCGAGTTGCTGAAGCTGACGGAGGTCCTGTCGCTAACTTCAATAAGGCAGGACTGGCTCTGCCCCCGTTATGAGTTTAAACCACCCTCTTCCACCAAAGTTCAGCCTGTAACCAAACAACCGATACGGACCAAGCTGTAAGCAGGGAGGGCGTTTGGAGTACCTTAGTGAGCCTCCACCTGTGCCCAGAAGGAGAATGGGGAGAGGGAGAGCACTCCAAACTGCTCTTGAGATACGTACTCCTCCGCTGACTTTGACAGACTGCAGAAAACAAACTCCCCTACCCAGGGGCGTAGCTGAGGTTTTGCCCTGAGCGCTTTTTGTGTATTTTTTCCAAACAGAACTAAGGGATGAAAAAATAACATGGACGGACACTGAAGCTCAGTGGGAACAGCTTCTTTCCTGAAGAGTCCTAGCCCTCTTCCACAGACTGCTTATGCCCTCTGCATTCTTTAATCTTTTATCCCCTTGATCTTGTATTTTGAGCTTGCAGTGGCGATTTTGAAGAGGCTGAGGGAGTGGCGACTGCAAGAAGACTCCTGAGCACGCACTGGTCGGAGCATTTTCTGGGGCAGAGTCAGGTGCCACTGTCCCCTCGCTAAGCCAGAAGGTGGTAAAAAGCTGTGTTTCTCATCTCCAGGGCAAACCTGTCAACAACTAGATTACGATGAACAGATGGGCACGACAACCACCTCTCCTGCTTGTCTTTTGAACTGCAATCTAAGCTGTCCTTGGCCACGCTGGGAATGGTGTGAATATGCTGGGTGAACAGGCCCCCTCCCAAGACAACGGGAAGCGCTGGCACTCCCCTGGTTATAAGGACATCGCTGTAGGGCTTGGGCACCCAGCAGCTCACCAGGCAACACTTCTGAGCGGCCACGGGGACCTTTGCTGGGAGCACAGCCACCCAGGGCAAGCCAACTGGGGCTATGCTTTAAAGAGCTGCCTCCCTCCATTCACTACAAACAGCGGCACTAAGGAAAACCTGTTCAGAAGCAGAAGGAAGTTCCTTGGTCCAAAAGAAAGATCCCAGCTCGGCCGAGGCAATTCTAGCACCTGCAGCCCGGGACAGCTGACAGTCTGAACTGCTGACACGAGTCCACGCACCTGCATGACATCTCGGCCCGTTTTAGGCACCGTCACAGGGGATGGAGCACGGGCTTCACCGCACCGTGCGGCGGCAGAAACAGCTCTGCTAGCGCCATCCGGAGAGAACAGACCTTTTGTATTCCACCCGCTGGTTACCAGAGCAGCCCAGAGAGAAAGGGAAGGGATGCAATTCAGATGAACTAAGCACCCACCAAAAATGTAAAACTTATTACGCCAGTCTATTAGTCCAGTAAGAGTCCCATTGGTTAAACGTTATTCAAGCTACGCTTCCACCTGAAATCACCACGAAGAGGTTACTGGGTCGGCTGAAGCACGACCAACTCATTTTTAAGTCTACCGTACGCTGCCTTCGCTGTGTGTATGTCACAGTAACGACGGACAGTCAGGAAACACCACGTCTTTCAGTCCGTCAGCAACTTACACAGAGGCGTTCTCAAGCGAACTTATTTCTGTGCACGGCTTTTCTCACAGACGCTGCTCACTTATCCCCCACCCACGAACACAAACAGCAGGACTTGCACACACAAGTGGGTTCATACACAAATTCTAGGGGCGTGTCGTTCCGTGATAAAATTTACTGCCAAAGTGGTTTAAAATGAAAGAAAACCTCCCATTATTCCATAACCTACTATTATTATTCCTAATACACAACTCATACCTGTTACGAAAAACCCTTACAACCAAAATTAAATGGGTTACAGTAAAAAATTTGTATGCCTTTCAAGAGGCAAAGATGTAATTACAAATAGTAATGCATTCTAGAGATATTTCCATTTAAAAAAACGTTCTGATTGCTTACCAGGAATGCTTGCCCAATTCCAAATGTCTGTATTTCATTTGGGGGGGGTTTGGTTGGGGCTTTTTTTGGTGGTGGTGGTTTGTTGGTTTGGTGTTGGTTTTTTTTTCTCTTTACAGGTGTATTTCTAGATGCTGGTGCAACACCATCACCACCAGAGTAACTTTTGTACTCCCAGACTTTCCAGTTAGGCAAATTTCTGTAGTATCAGCATTCACTTTGATGTTAAAAATACATTTTAAATGTCTCACATTAATCATACCTTCTACAAGGAAATCACCAAGTTGAATACACACAGAATGAAGACACGTCACTATCAGACACCTGTAAAGTGAAACAGCACTGAACTTGCTCCATTTAAAAAGCCATAAAGGAAGAAACACTTTTAATCCAACAGATGCTGAAAAAAGCAAGGGTGTTTCCTGCAAAATGACAGTATTAGCTACGTGTAAGTAGAGCCTGACCCACAGCGCTGAATTTCTCCCTTTAACCCTAAGTCTGCAGGATTACGGAACACACCGCTGGCCTTAACGCACGGCCCTTTGTACACAACTTCCGTCAGTATCAAAGGAAGCTTTAGCATGGAATAAAGACAATAGAACTGATCAACCCATCACAAAATAACCACTAAAAAGCCACATCAGGCCTTTGAAGAAACCTGGAAATATTCAGCACTCAGCTGTAACTGGATTTGAAGTACTGGTGGATTGCCGAGTTCCCATCTCCCCTCTGCTCTTCAGCAGAAAAGTTCTTGATCACAAAATAACTTCATAGGAGGTACCGTGTTTTCAAAGCACAGAATCCACAGCAATTAAAACGTGTGAGGGCCAGAAGACAAAGACTGGGTATGTTGAGAAAAGAGTTATATTTAAAAATTGTACCTTAAACTTCCCTTTAAAACACCACATACAGCTCAGCAGAATTCTTAATCTGCATTTTTGAGACTTGTTGTGTCTTCTTTTTGCAGGTTCAGAAAAGGATCCATTCCAGACAAAAAATTTTCTTGGAAACAGAGTGACAAAGCCACTCGCTGTGCAGTGAGCCCATTTCGAGCAAGGTATCATCCTCTAAAACCGATTACAAAAGAGCATTGCAGTTGTTCAAAAAAGGGTTTTAGCTGTGATGCGACACCTCGGTTTCTACATTCCTCTTCTCAACCACCCTTCAACTCAGCATGACTTTCAGGCAGCCTGGTTTTGTTTCAGTGAACCTGTGGAACAAGAAAGGACGAAGCTTCAACATGAAAGCTCTGTGCAACGCCACCTCCTTCAGCCCTCATCCAACACACGGAGAGCGGTAAGGTTCTCAGTCAAGTATGTGTGCATGTGAGTCAGGAATTCTGCATCATGTCCTCTGGATGTGACAGTGAGGGAGGATTTTACGGGGTCTGGAGAAGTGAAGAGCTGGAAACTGCAGAAACTAAGAGAAAGATTTTAAACAGCTGTCCAACATTCTTGGTTATAGTCATTCTGTTCCCCTTTTCCTGCTCCCCTTTCATTCCCTCTTCAAAACAGATTTTCTCCCTTGTCTTCTCTAGAAAGTAAGAAGGAAATGGGAAGGGAAGTCTTTGCTATTTCAGAGTCCCACCTTCGCAGTCACCTTCACAAACACACTGATGCCAGCCCAGACTTGCTAAACTGCTGTCCTACGTAAGAACCCGAGGGCTACAGCAGGTACTGGAGACCAATAAAGCGCAGGATTAACAACTTTTCACAGTGAAGCCAGCAACCTTCAATGGAACTATGCAATTAAACCATGTTAGATAAGTTTAATTTATAGTGGTTTGATCTACCTCGAAGGAAAGGATCTAATGTTTCACAGGTGCCCCGAACAAGATGGTTTTGTGTCACACAACAATTGCACTGGATTTACAGAACTGCAGACCTGCCTTAATCTGACTATCAGTTTACCAGCACTCTAACTTCAATTTTCAGTTAGTTAAATGTGGGTTAAGGGGGGGGGGGGGGGGGGAAATCAGTAACAAAAATCTAAACTCACCTGAAGTTGTGGCTTGTGAGGTATCTGATAGCTGCTGGTCTGATGCGAGCAACCCCTCCCTGACTACGGCTTCCTCTTCCCGTGATAACGCAGAGATACGGTTTACCGCCAGTCTGCTGGTACTCTGTAACAGCAGGGATTGCAACGGTTAAAATTCTCCCTCGGCAGAGACCTGGCCTTCAGTACAACCCTTCCATCCATCCTTCCAAAAATTCTCACCCGTGGTTTAGAACTTTGCTCTCCCAGGCTGGCTATGCATCTTTTACAGAAACAGAGCCACTTCCCCCCCCTCTTCTGAACAACACGCCCTGAAAAAGTACAGTCAAGCTTTTGAAATCCGGATTGCTTTGCAATATGCACGTTGTGATCATCACAAAATCCTTCTAATTTCGTAGCAGCTTCACTGTTTCTATCATCTAATCTTCACTTGGAATTTACATCCTGTGGTGCAAATTAAAATTGCCAAATTAAAAGAGGTGGGTGTAATTTAGCTAGTTTTTAAATGACCTTTCTCTCTACCGTTTCACGTTTTTTCTTAATTAATGTCAATAAAGGAATAACATTTTGTTGGAGACAGACAGACAGAGGAAAATGTAAGCCCACACAGTTTTTGACATTTAAGTCACAATTATTCGATCTAACTTCTGCTGTGGTGGAAGCACATAAATCAACAGATCAACACATCACATCAGCTTTATTAGGGCATCTGGCCCCGATGACAGGAGAAATTACTCTTCTCCCAGAGATCACAGCAACTGAAATGGATGGAGAGTTTGGAAAAAAGAGGAAAAAAAATATAAATTGAACTGGATTCTCACAACAAGCCAAGATGTGCCAGTTGGAGATTATCGGTTCACATGACATCTTTCCTCCACTACCCTCTCTCTCTCTGCAGTTTAACTTCAGCGGGGTTTTATTTTAGCCTACTGTTAATTCTGCCCGGTATCAAGCCCCGTCCCATGTATGCACACCAAAATGAATGTTTTCTTTTAGATTTAGGCGAGTGGACTTAACAGAGCATCCCTATCATCATTCCACGACTCCTGATGTAAGCACAGCTCAGAAAATTTAGCTCCAAAAAGCATTAGGTTACAGTTTCAAGTACACAAATGTCATTTTAAGAATAGCACAAGATAATGGAATTTAATTATCTCTGCTGTATATTGAAAGAAAATAATTATCTAAGGCCCCACTGTACACTTCTGTTTCTACTGTGTAGAGCACTCATAAAAGCCTTCCCAGTGTGCTTAAATTTATAGGATAAACTAATAATGCAGAAAATGTATCTTTTTACAGCAAGAACACTCATTAAGTAGTTGAACAGCCAATTGGGAGAAAAAACCAAGCTCTCAAGCAAAACTACACAAGATGACATTTGTGGAAACAGCAGTATTCTGATCTCCAGAGATCCTGCCAAGAAATCGCAGTGGAATTTGCTGAAAGACAGCTCAAATCACGTACTTTTCACCTAAAAGTTGAAGACAATATAATCATCGGGGTTAAAACTCCAACATAATGATTTTTCTTTAAACAGTTCAGAGAAAGCAACGCGAAGATGACACAAATGTTGGTATTACCACCTCCGTTAGAAATGGCAGGAGGGCTGGATCAAGTCTTCAATAAGAAAATAAACGGATGAAACAGAAGGAAAAGGAAAGTGTACACAGAAGCACAGGGGGTGGTGAGGGGAGTGCTAGAGAGAGCAAAAAGCATCACTGCCACATCAAAAAGAAACAATTCCACGTGGGAACTTTGCAAATAAAACAACACAAGAGCCAGTTATTTTCACACGTTATTAAATCATATTAATTCTCTCTGATACTGCCATATATTGTGAATTCTCAGCAAAAAATTAGGAGAATAAATTTCAGGGGGCAGACATTATTAGCAGATTCCTACCTTCACTTTTTTCCTGCAGCACTCTGGACAACTGATTCACAGCTTCCTCCACATGGAGACCATGCAAATCCAACACATTCATAGGCAGCAAGGAAGCATTTACCCTCTCAAAGATTTGCGCAGCAGCAGCGTGGTTGGCTTCTCTCATCTTCTGCTCATGAAGGCGACCCTTTATTCATAAGCACAGCAACTGTTACACACCGAGACATAACCTAAGCTCCACGCTGGGGTCAAACGACAGTACTGGCAGGGTGCTTTTAGCTCACAGGTTGAAGCAGTAAGATTTATAAGATTTATATTGGGGGCCTAGAAGGAAGCTGGGGGGGACTTTTTACAAGGGCCTGTAGTGACGGGACAAGGGGTAACGGGTCTAAATTGAAAGTGGGGAGGTTTAGATTGGATATCAGGAAGAAGTTCTTCCCGGAGAGGGTGGGGAGGCACTGGAACAGGTTGCCCAGAGAAGCTGTGGATGCCCCATCCCTGGATGTCTTCAAGGCCAGGCTGGATGAGGCTTTGAGCAACCTGGTCTAGTGGAAGGTGTCCCTGCCCATGGCAGGGGGGTTGGAACTGGATGGGCTTTAAGGTCCCTTCCAACCCAAACCAATCCATGATTCAGTGATTCTACAATAATCACAACAGAACTTCTGGAAGAGGCTCAGCAAGACCTACTCAAAAGGAGATTTCATGAAATCTGTTCGTAAGGAACTACTCAAAGCTGGCACAAAGAAGAAATTAAAACAAAAGTTTTCCAAGAAGGAAATAAAGGAGACAGAAAAGGCACAAACCCCTCAGGCTTTACATAAGCTAGAAAGTTACACTCCATGCTCATTTTCAGATTTATTATCCTAACAATAGAATTTTACTTTCTGAAAGTATTTTGCTAAAAATTTAATGAAACAATGTCAGAAAAAGTGCCCAGGAAAAACCTGCTGAGTGTTACAGCTGAGGTTAATGCTTGTGAGCACAATCCCTAAAAATCAGACAAGCCAAGGGCAAACATTTCTTTTTCCTTTTTAAATAGTTGCCTATTAATATTTTGGACAGATCTTTTATGCAGTGCCTATCGGGATTAGGGGCAAGGAGCAGTACAGGGTTATCCACATTACCCAGTGAACATGTACCAACTATTTCCCATGAACCCTGCAGTGACAGCCTGTGAGAGACTGAGGCAACAAATTGTGTCTCTGAAGATCCCTCGGCCCAGTCTGAAGAGGAATGAAGACTTAACTCCAGGTATTGGACTGACAAGGGCACAAGAGAACTGAGGTGACAGTCTGCCTTCCTCTTTCTTAAAATGGGTCATCTGAAGTGTATTAGTGTCAGACCAGAGACACCAGCCCCACAACTCTTGCTCACAGAGGACTCCCAAGACATGCTAAGACCACCAAACATCAAGTATTTTTCATAAAGAAAGGTGGCTTAGTTTGCCTTTTTATTACCTAGAAGAAAATGTATCATAAATTTTCAGATTGTCCTTGTTGTTACGGCTAAGAACAAAAGTAAGACAGGACTTGAAATTACATTTCTCTTTAAAATCATGCAGACCTTTGCTTAGAAACTCTCCAAACTTCAAGAATATAGAAACAAAGCTCATTATAAAGACCGATAATCAATACTTCTTACATGTAGAGTAACAATCTAAACATTTAGAGTGATACGTTTTACCAATTGCATTGAAGCTTTTTAATAAGCAAATTCAAGTGACTCATTATTACATTTTCCTTCTGTCATAATGCAATTCATGGTTTAGAATGAAATGCTTCTACAAGATGAATTCTTACGTGCTATTAGATCAGAGAAAAGCTACAGCCTGTACCAGTATTTTTAAGAGTGGTCCGAATGAAGTGCAAACAGAAGGGTCCCATGTGAAGGGACCGAGAAACCAATGTACAGGAAAGGTTAGAACACTCGACAGTTGTAATCAAGAACATGATCAAACTGGTATGTACAGAGAAGTGCGCTTGACCCAAGACCAGAGCGCCTGTGCTCCAAGGCCAGAGCACACAAGACTGATCACAGCAGATCTACACCCCACACCACACCACCTTTATCCCAACCCACGGCAGACTGGAGCCACAGTTAGAACGAGGAAGCAGACAGCAGACAGCAGTCTTGCCCAAGATCTGTGGAGGATGAAGACAGCGAGATTCTGAGGCAAAAGATCGCATCTTAATACCTGACTCCTAAAAAGTACGAAGGACGTGTCTACAACCAGTTCTTCACCAATTAAGATGAAGCCAAGGGACATACGGAGGATTTGAAAACGGATGTTTGTTGCAGTCCGTGTGACACATGAGCAACGCTGGCCAGACCACACGAACACCGGTCATGGTGCTTACAGGCACGTGGATGCGAGAGTGAGAAGGAGCACATGCGACTAAGCGCTCAGTACCATCTTCCGTGAGGTCTGGCACTGAATTTGGTTCCATTAGCTTCCCGTATCAGCATCACGACTAGTGAAAGGGGGTTTACTTGTAAGGTGACTCTCAATATAACCCACCCCAAACAGTAACTGAGCCAATTTTGGCACAATGTTTTTCTTATCACTTGCAATTCGACGTTTAAGTCCCCCAGTAAATTCAAGCAAAAAGCACAATATTGACATTTACCTGATGTGCATAAAATGCTGCCACAGGCCTCATACCCATGCGATAAGCCTCCTCAGCCTTTTTCAAACATTCCTGTCTCTTTTGCTGGTGACAAAAAGCTTCTGCTCTTAGATCATCATACTGCGGATACTCAAATTCTTGATATATTTCACTCAAAGGATCATCCTCTTCCTTACTTTTTTTTGCCTGTAGGAATTTGCAATGTTGAAGCCAAGCATGCATTGTAGGCTGTTGTCATTAACATAGCTTTGGATATATTTGTAACTACTATATATAAAAAAAACCCAAAAAACCCAAAAACAACCAAACAATGGAGCAATACCTTCTTCTCCCGGTTCTTTACAGCACTGTATGAAGAAACAGTTTCATTCTGCTGAACGCTTTCTTGAGCTATAACTGTTTTTACAGGATCTGCCTCCAGAACACAGTTCAGAAACTGTTCAGTCTGATCTAAAGAGTAGCTGTAAAGGATAAGTAAAATCTGTGACTTTACAAATACATTAATAGCTGCTACGTTTATTAAAATGCGTATTACGGACTTTGATATTGTTACAGAAGTAGATGACAATGGAAATAAGGCACCGGAATGGAATTTTCCACCTTATTACAACAAGGCTTGCAGAGTCACTGTACTGCATTACTGGCATCAACACACATACAGTCTTGGCTGATTGAAACTTAATTGAGGGGCACTTAGATTTTAAAAGGACAATGAAGCGCTGGAGTAAATTGCACCCTACCTTAATCCAACAGACATTAGTTTAGAAGTAAACACTGCTTGTTGGGCTGGATAAGTCACTTCATCTTAAATCTTCTCCACTCAGGGTTAGAGAGTACAAACTCGTTTAAAACTAGCTCAGTTTTCTGAAACCATTATGCAGGAAAATTCTTTTATTTCCAGTCAAGCTTTGTTATTAAATTTAATGAAATAAGAATAGGACATCAGTTGCCATCAGATTTCTAGTAAGCCCTCATTCTTCTTTATTCTTCTTGCTGTCCAGTAAGCAGACAAGAGGAAGACTGATCAAAAGCAAAGACAGATTGTGGGAAAGGCAACACTATGAAGAGAATTTAGAATGTGGAAAACAAGACAGTGAAATGCTGTAGAGATGGATGAAGGATGTATTTTAAGCATCCCATAAGGAAAGGTTTTGATAACAACCTGGACAAGCAGGCATTGCAAACCCATTCGTGAGACAGATATTCAATTGGCCGAGGAGGAAAAAAGAAGTTTCTCTTGAAAAAAAAAAGCTCAGTTCTCAGGAGCTGGGATTTAAGGTAGCCACGTACCCCAGAAATATAATGCAGACAAGATAAAGACAACGTCAG